TTTAATTAGGGTTCACTTAAAGCTAATAATCCGTAGAGGTCTAACCGTCCTTGTGGTTCGACACCCTTACTTGTGCCGCTATACTATCCTCATATTTGCACTCAGAAGGAACACAACAGTTTAAACGTGTAATTTTGGTGTGGGACACTCTTTTGATGTGCTTATATTTTTTTTAGTTTGTCTATTCTTTGCAATAATTTTAGAAATTTAATATGAGTTTGTTGTATTTTGTAGTCTCGCTATATATAATTTTTGGTCAATTTGTTTGGTGGCTGAATATGAGATTTCATATTTCGTTTGCTTCACCGGTCATTTCAAATATGTAATTTGGCTCACCTCAAAGGTTATGTTACACTAGTCACTAAAAAAAAATTACGCCTATTTGGGGTAATGTTTTCTTTTAGTTTCAATCTTATAAGCAACCTATTATTTTATCAAATTACATACTAATCATGTTGGTACTTTCGTTAGAGGTGGGCCAACCTCGATGGAAGAAGTGATTTATGTATGACCCATGGTGGAATCAAGATGAGTAGTGTGCTGAGGTGGTGTGGCATGGTTGGACTAGTGTTCAAGGTGGGTCTCATGCCCATAGATTGGTGAATAACTTGAAAAATGTCAAACATTGTTTACTAGGGTGACGGAAAAGGGCTAGGCGAAATGAACAACAAGAAATTTGCCGATTGAAGGAAGCCCTTCGAAATGCATATTAGCAATCGACTTTTTATGATTTGGGAGATGGAAGCGGAGCTCACACGGGCAATTAAAAATGAAGAAATCTATTGGTGGACGAAGTCCAGAGTGCAGTGGTTGTAGGAAAGAGACAAAAATACAAGATTTTTTCATGCTTAGACTATGAAACGGAGATGACGGAATGCCATCCGAGGGTTAGAGGAGGAAGACGAATCTTGGTCCACGAACAGGTAGTGTATTCAGGAGGTTGCAGTTCAGTATTTCCACTCCTTATTCTCTTTGGCTAGGGCCACTAGCTTTCATGAGATTATCTCATGTGTGCCGAGTAAGGTGGGGAGTTTGAATAATAATTTATTGATTGCTCTGGTGACTGATGCAGAGATTGAGATTGCTATCTACCAAATGCACCCAACTAAATCCCCAGGTCCGGATGGGTTTAATGCTGGTTTCTTTCAACACATTGGGAAATGGTGGGTGGTGTGGTTCTAGGTATGGTCAAATCCTATTTTCCAGACTAGGCGGTTGTTAAATGAGTTAAACCATACCAATATTGTACTTATTCCAAAAGTGGACAACCCACAAAATATTACCCAATTTCGGCCAATATCATTATGTAATGTAGTGTATAAGATTATTTCCAAGGTTCTGACGAACCGGCTGAAGAAAGTTGTCTCTAAAGTAATTAGCTGAAGAAAGTTAACTCTAAAGTAATTAGGCAGAACTAGTCAGCGTTTGTAGCTAGAAGACAAATCTCAGATAACATCTTGGTGGTTCATGAATTGCTACACTACATGAAGCAAGGGAATGATGAAGGTATTAATTTTATGGCGTTAAAATTGGATATGGAAAAATCTTATGACTGTGTTGAATGGCCGTTTTTGAATGCTATGTTGCATAAATTGGGATTTGATGATATTTTCGGTCAGTGGGTAATGGAGTGTGTGCAAACAGTCTCATACAATGTGATTATTAATGGGGAGGTCACGGGTCACATAGTACCATGTAGGGGACTCCGTCAGGGGGATCCCTTAACACCATTTATGTTTTTAATTTGTGATGAAGGTTTATCTGCCTTAATTCAAAATGAGGAGAGGGTTAGGCACATCAGGGGGATGACATTCAACCATTTAGCCAAGCCTCTCTCTCATGTGTTCTTTGCGGATGATTTGGTTCTATTTTGTCAAGCCACGCGAAAATTGAGGCGATACATGTTAATGGAGTACTCCAAAAATATGTCGAAAGGTCTGGGCAGTTTGTTAATGTCACACCCCGATCCCAACATGTGCCCATGATCGACACGTGACGTCACCAAAACTCGTATCTCAAACTTATTCCGCCTCCGGAATATGGCAAATTACAACTCCATAATCAAATTTCGTAGTGATTTTTCGTATATCTTATGGTTGTATCTAATCTCTCGTTAGATTGCCTTCGTACCCTCAATAGGGATCAAGCCATTCATAGTTCGTTATACATTACACTCGAACAATTATCACATCATTCACTTGATCTTCAGCATGATACATCCATAGCATGTAACATATCAAATAACCAATGAAGCACAATATTAATCTCAAGGTACCTTGATCAACTAAAATAATCATAATAATAACAATCATATTCAACGTCATTCCACAATCCCATCAATTAAACAATTCATGAATAAAAGATGAATGATCTTAGCATTTAACTACATTAATCAAACAATCCGATAACATATCATTTTATGAATCTAATTAAAGAACTCTATATAATTCCCTAATTGGATTATAAGTAATAAACATGGTAAATCTAATTTGTATTCACAAGGTCTTGTGCGGGTAATTCTCATTCGTTCGAATCTAGGGTTCTAGACTAACCTTATGGAAATGAGCAAGAGCAAGGATTCCGGACCACTCAACGGAATCCAAAATATCAAGTGGCTTCTCATAATCTACCCAGATATGTCACATGTAAAATCAATGCCTACATCATGGAAATGGTACATTGGGCCAATCAGACACTGAGATAAACTACGAGGCTCGGGTGAGTGACAATTATACAAGTATGTGATATTTAGTAAAAACAGACCATCGATAACAATCTATAAACATCGAGTATAGAATGATGCTTTATGAAATCATAATCAAGTCGCTGTAAACTCCGAATGAGTTACCCAGACATCCAACAGCTTTTCTAATTCAAACCTCAAGATTCTCAAAACCATCATTCATATATGTATAAAAAAAAAACTAGGGTTAGAAGGAAGCAGTTCGGCCGAACCCTACATAAGTAACCAAAAAGGAAGTGGCCCTCCAAAGCAGATTAACCAAGCAAAGCCACCCTTGATAAAGTAACCAAGTAGGCAGTGACCCCCCTAACGCGGATTAACCAAATAGAGTCACTCCTACAACTGTTAGGAAGTGATCACCCAACGCAGATTAACCAAGCATGATCACTCCTAAGCATACATGGCCATAAAGATAGCCCAACACGGATTAACCAAGAACGATCCATATATAATATGGTCCCCCAACACGGATTAACCAAGCAGGACCACTAGTGACCCCCCAACACAGATTAACCAAACAAGGTCAAGATAACCAAGTAGGTAGTGACCCTCAATACGGATTAATCAAGCAGGGTCACACCTACATAACTATTAGGCAATGATCACCCAATGCGGATTAACCAAGCATGATCACCCCTAAATATAAAGGGCTATAAGGATCACCCAACACGGATTAACCAAGCGCAATCCATAAATAGTATGGTCCCCCAACGCGGATTAACCAAGCAAGACCATCCATACACCACTGCTACATGATGCAGTTAGATTAACACAAAAACCACTTACCCTTATCTCATTCGTTATGATTTACATCGTAATCACTTGCACTATCAACTTCTTATGACCACTAACTATCTTATCATACAAGCATAAAAGTTCTACATAATACTTCTCATAATATTCTGGGTTCACATCGTCATAAAAACAATCATACACATCATACTAATTATACATATCTAACCACATTTCATAAATGTTTCCAAGCTACAGTTGAATCACAATTAATAAACATAGATCGACGCTAAAAATAAAAATAACAATTTAATAGAAAGCACATTTAATAAACAAGTATAACTCAATATGGTGCCACTAGTACATATATCAAGACACATGTCAACTGGAAACGACATGTCATCGTAATGAGCCAAGTAAGCTCCATCAAGCCTCAACAACAAACTAGAGATAAACGACACTCTAGAGTAGAGCACGTTGACTAGAACGTCAATCGTCAATAAGGTAGGTCCATTAAGGTCAATAATCTACGGTTATTCAATCCGGAAGATCCGCACATCGGATTTCCGATCTATAAGTTCTCAAAGGTCTAATAACTGATAACTAGGGTGCTCACAAAATTGTACGACGATCCAACGATCAAATTGTCGTCAATCACACAAACAAGTGGTGGTCCAATTTGATCACCACACCAAACAATTGAATTTCGGGAAACCAAGCTGGACATAGGTTCATAGGGTCACTAGAAAGTATTTGGTACTTAGACAACACTTGTGGACGGTCCCACGCACCTCCACACGTCGTGGTAGCCAAGGTGGAGCGTTTAGAAAACTTGAATTTTCAACATTAACTAAATGAGCTCAAATTTACGTGGTAGCTAGAGCTCAACAAGGGAAACACTTTTCAAAACTAGGCCAGTGATAAATTCTAACCGGAAACCGTCCAAATTCACTGAAGAAAACTGGATTTCTAGGGTTCTAAACACCCAACTCTAAAATGAATACAAAAGCATTGTAGAAACTTATTTTCCTCAATATACAGTATATATATATATACACGCACACAAGTGAGTAGATAATACTCTATGGTTACATCTTAAAGACCATAAACATACACATAAATATGGAGTTACAATATAACGAACAATTGGCCAATATTCTATAATTAGTGTCATTAACTATTGTAACTCCCTAACATCCCCCCACAAACTTGACATTGGAAAATAGACAAGTTTGGAAATAAGAAGCCTAAAACGATCAGCAGACAAGCGCTTGGTAAAAACATCTGCTAGTTGATGAGTAGAAGGGATGAAGTGAACCTGGTGACTGCTCGAAGTGACACGTTTGCAAACAAAATGATAATCAATAGCAATGTGTTTGGTGCAAGCATGAAAAACGAGATTGGCAACAAGATACGTGGCAGCTAAATTGTCATAAATAAGAATAATTTGATGTGCGAGATAATGCTGAAGTTCATGGAGAAGACCTTGAATCCATATAGTATCTGCACATGCATAGGCTAAGGCTCAGTACTCAGCTTCAACACTCAAACGTGAAACAGTCTGTTGCTTCTTTGCACTCCAGGATATTAAATTAGGTCCAAAAAAGACACAATACCCAGTAGTGGACCGGCGGGTATCAGGACAACCTGCCCAATCCGCATCTGAATAGGCAACAACAAATAAGGAATCAGTAGAATAGCGAATAGGGAAGCCATGTCCAAGGGTACCTTTGAGATAATGTAGGATGCATTTGACTGCTTCATAGTGAACATCAGTGGGAGATCCAATGAACTGAGAAACATGTTGTACAACATACGAAATGTCGAGACGAGTCATTGTGAGATATTGGAGAGCACCGACAATCTGTCGATATGGGGTGGGGTCTGATAGGGGAGTATCATGGGTACGGGAAAGGCTGCCTTTAGACGACATTGGTGTAGAAACCGGTTTCCATGCCAACATGTTACTGTGTTGAAGGACATCAAGAGCTATTTAGCCTGATTAAGATGAACATAACCTTTCTCATATGTAACCTCAATACCAAGAAAGTAATGAAGTCGGCCAAGGTCTTTGATGTCAAATTCAGTGCCCAAGGTATTGATAAAGCTTGTAAATAGGATTGACTACTACATGTGAGCACGATGTTGTCAACATAAAGAAGCAAAATCATCTTATGAAACTGATCCTGATATACAAACATGGAATCATCAGAGTGGCTTTGAGTAAAACCAACACGAATCAAGAATGAACTAAAACATTGAAACCAAGCACGAGGTGCTTGTTTAAGACCATATATAGCCTTGTGAAGTTTGCAGACATGATTTGGTCGACTGGATCAACAAACCCAAGAGGTCGTTGCATATAAACTTCCTCAGATAAGGTGCCATAGAGAAAAACATTCTTGACGTCGAGTTGTCGAATAGACCACCCAAAACTAACTGCAAGACTGAGCACGATTCGAATTGTAGTTAGTTTAACAACCATGCTGAATGTATCAAAATAATCGACCCCATATTGTTGGTGAAATCCCTTGGCCACAAGACGTGCTTTGTAGCGCTCAACAGTGCCATCGGATCGCCGTTTGACTTTGAAAACCCATTTACAGCCAACTGGGTTCTGTGTGGAGAATGAAGGAACCAATGACCATGTACCTTGTTTGAGAAGAGCATTGAAATCATCATGCATGACTTGCTTCCATGTTGGAGATTGAGCAGCTTGAGTGCAACATGTGGGTTCAACATCAGAGGTGAGTAGTGCGGTCAGGGCGTGAGAAAGAGGGTAACGGGTGGAGAAATTGGCATATTTGAGATTTGGTTTAAAGATTCCTAATTTAGAACGAGTTAGAATAGAAGATGGACAACCGGAAATTGGTGGGAACGGTGATGTATCAGGAATAAGGGTGTTGGAAAGCGGTAGATGCAAGATGGGTTCTAAAGAAGTTGCAGATATGAGAGATTGTGTGCTAGGCACGGGTTGAGAAGTCTGGTTAATGTGGATGGGAGTTTGGTCTGGTTGATGAATTGGAGTCGCGACAAAAATAGGCCTTGAGTCTTGTGTGATAGTGGTGGGCCTTGTAAAAGAATTTTGGTCTAAGCAAAAGTCAACAGGTAGAAGGACAAAGTCGGTGTTCACGACAGGTGTGGAAAGGTTAGAAGCACCAAAATAAAATTTGGCTTCATGAAAATTCACATGACGAGAAGTGTAAAGTCGACCCGTAGGAGGATGTAGACAGCGATAGCCTTTATGACGATTGATGTAACCGACAGAGACACACTCAAGAGAGCGGGGTTGTAATTTATTAGAAATATAATCACCAAGAAATGGGTAACATACACACCCAAATGTCCGAATGAGTGAGTAATCGGGATTGTGAGAGAACAATTTTTGATATTAAGAAGCCCATTCAAGTACCGGAGTCGGAAGTCGATTGATCAAGTAAACAGTTGTACAAAGGGCTTCAGCCCATAAATGATAAGGCGTTTAAGCAATAAGAAGAAGAGTACGACCCATGTTAGCGATATGACAATGCTTTTGTTCAGCCAAACCATTTTGTTGAGGTGTGTGGACAAGAAAAACGATGCATAATTCCATTCGTAGCACAAAATTGCTTAAATTGGAAGTTATCATATTCCTTACCCCCTATCACTTTGGATTTGTTTAATGGACAAAGAGAATTGATTTTTGACATACATGACAAAATTGGAAAAATAACCAAAGACTTCATATTTGAGACGCATTGGAAAAATCCAGGAGAAGCGAGTATAATCATCCGTAAATAAAACATAATAACGGAACCCAGAAGTAGAAATAACTGGAGACATCCAAACATCAGAATGTATTAATTCAAAAGGAGTAACAGAATAATGTTCATTACAAGAAAAATGAAGCCTAACAAATTTGGCCAAGGCACAATGGTTACAAAATTGACTTGCCAAACATTTAGAATCTAAGAAGGACTAAGAAACAAGTGTGCGAAGCACTTTATTGGATGGATGGCCGAGACGATGATGCCAAGCGGAAGATGACATAGCTACAGAAGCAAGTGCAACTGGTGAGGTAGACAAGAGCATTGGAAGAACAGGATAAAGACCATCTTTACATTGGCCCTGAAAAAGAAGAACTCCAGTGGTTAAATCATGAATTATATAGCCCTATGGAAAGAATGTAATGCTAACATGACAATCCTTAGTATATTGAGCAAGGATAATAGATTTTTATGTAAGGAAGGAACACGAAGAACATCGGAAGGACGAAAAACATAAGTACCAAAAGTGAAAGAGACATTACCAGAATGAGTGATGGGGAGGGAAGTGCCGTTACCAATAACAATTTGGTTAGAATAAGACTGTGGAATTTAGGTAGAAGTCGAGTGTGCATCATGAGTCATATGATTGGTAGCGCCAGAATCAAAGTACCAATTGGGGTCGATTGAAGAGGCAATATGCATACCAGTAAAAGCATGAGGATAAGGACACTGAGCAGCAAGATGACCATACTGTCGGCAATTCCAACATTGCCGAAGAGGAGGATGAGGGCCTAAAAGGCCTTGAGAAGGAGTTGGGTTGAGTGGCGGGCGAACAAGACCATATCCCTGTGCAGAGGCAACAACAGGAAAGCAAGTGGGTTGACCACAGGTTCGAGGGGTGCGGGGTCCACGCGGATTACGAGCAAAGAGAAAAGCACTTGGTTGAGCATTGGGAGTCATCTGTGTTGGAAGTATGCCCATAAAGCCACTCATTTGATGTAATAGCTTTTGGAATACTTATTGTATTAAACTATTATATGTTTCATGAAGGGCAAAGCTTATTGTTAATCACTATTTATTGTATCATGTGTTTAAGCAATAAGGGAATCCAATGAAAGTATTTAATCTGAGAGAGAAGTGATCTAAGTAAGTTAGATTAACGAGACATTTCTCTTATGTTCATTCCTAAAATGTTCCTAGCCATAGGATTGCCAATTGGGCATTGACAATCCGCTAATGTTAGTATGTGTTATGTAAACTCAAGCGTGAGTATAACTAGTCTCAAGTCATTTAGTATTGGACACTGAGACAAACACGTAGGTGCTCGAAAGGGTAATCGAGTACATTGAACAACGATCAAAAGAGAGTTCGAATATGCATGTCATGTAAGAACTCATTAGTTGCAATATGCAAAGTAGTCCTTTAACCTGAGGCATCATAGATGTCTAATGGTTAGGTCTTTGATCTTTGATCATGTCAAAGGCATTCCATTGAGAGTGTCCATGGCATTGTTGGGGTTAAGATATCTAGTCATGTAGGCATATGAATGCACAACAAGGGATCTCTAACCTTCCATGGTGGTGGGAGAATACTCTAAGATATGATTCAAGAGTCTTTAGCCAAAGCATATGAATATGACTTAGGAAGTTTGTTCTAAATCATATTCAATTGAATCATATAAAGAAGTATCACATTGGATAGTAGACATGAAACAAACTATCACTCAAACAATGTGATTAAGAGTATTGTATTAGAGAATGACCGTATTGCATTGTAATTGTAACTAGATAGGTTCTCCAACCACTTCTACTTAGCTTGGCTAGCCATGACATACTGCTAGGTGTCACTCATGATTTGCGGAAGCCCTAAAGATTAGCAAACACTAATCTTCATCAAAGGGAGAATTGAAATGTTGTTTCAATTCATAATCGATCGTTAAGAGTAACAATCGCCCACTGCCTTTCTAATTGGAACCTAATGGATCGTACACCGAGTGAGGATGAAAGTGAAGAAATATAAATGTGATGGATAAGCGATTAAATGGTTTAATTGAGAATGGTCAAGATTAATTAATTAGTTAATTAATTTTATGAAAGGTTCGTATTGGGCTTTTAAGTTGGTTTTGGGTTTCGGGGCCCAAAAGTGTTTTGGTCCACAAGGCCCATTATGTTTAAGTTGTATGACAACTAAAACAAATTGGGCAATTAGCCCAATAACAAAGACAAGGCCGGCCATAAAAGTGAGTGGATGCAAACTTGAATTAATTACAGGTTTGCCACTCACATGTGATGTAGTATAAAGTCAACTTTATAGCTTTTTCTAATTTGGGTTTTCTTGAGGCAAAGAAGAGAAACACTTTCTCTCTTTTTCTCTAAAAGGAGGCCGACCACTTAGGGAAGAATTAGCTAGCAATCTTTTCTTCTCTAAGTCATCCATTTCATCTTCACACCTCATCCTTGGTGTGGAGACTTAGAGACACCAAATCTTTGGTGTTCTTGGAGATCATTTCCTCACATCCTCAAGGAGCAAAGGAGCATCAAAAAGGAAGAAAAACACAAGGAAGGTCCAAGGAGCTAGGAGGTGACTTAAAGGCCCTCCACTTGGGTGAATCCCTTGTGTAAACAAGGATGAGCTTCAAGGGTAATGAATCTCTAAATCCTTCCTTCTCTTTAATATTGTTAAAGAGTCTTGTGGTTCACCATTCACTAGGCTTTGAAAGTCATGGGTTTTAGAATTGTTTTTTAATGCATGCCTACTTTAATGTGTTATTAGTTTGCATATGTGTTCGAATGTTCTCACATGTTCTTAGCTAAGACAAAAAATTTCCTTCAATATGCACGACCAACTCTTGCTGAGCCTCAAAGGATAAAAGACGAGCACGAAGATCAGAAAAACTAGGCAGGGACGGCAAATGGAGAATGGTCGTAACATGCATGCCATATTCAGGACCCAAACCACGAAGAACAAAAGTGACCAAATGAGAATTGGATATAGGGTCATTGATGGCAGTCAGTGATCCGCTAGATTCTTAGCATGAGCAAGGTAGTCGGAGATCGACTTGGTACCTTTTGTGATGGAGAAAAGATGAAACTTCAGTTGAGCCCCATTAGTAAGAGATTGCTATGAAAAGTTATGTTGAAGACAATCCCAAAGATCTTTGGAGGTAGAGAGACCAACTACTTGAGGAAGAATAGTTTCAGACAACGTGGCACGGAGA